CGAATCTTAGATAACTCCCAGGGCATAAGGACCCATGGACAATTTCCTAACATTATCAACACAGGTTTTGCTTAATGCATAACTATGTGACTTCCTCTTAATTTACCCTTTTCTAAAAACAATCACTAACTACTCTCTGCTAGTCTTAATTAACCTTTTCCTAAAACAAACACTAGCTACTCTCTGCTAAACTTAAGTTAGCCATTAGCTTTCCTTGTGACTATCACTGACGACTCTGCTAACACAGTTTATTCCTTCCCTAGTACTCCTAAATCCTTTGCTAACAGCTCATCCTTTCCCAGACTCTGATCCTTTGAAGTCACAGTTAAACATCTGTATACATGAAAGCTACACAAAGCTGTATAGTATAGTGTGCCATAAAGTAGCAAGAGGAGGATGCATTGTTCCTCTCTTCCTTTAAAATTTTTATGCTGATTTTTTATTAACTTACCTGATGCATTATTGTAACTAAATCTTGCTAAACAGTATAAAGACCTGCAAAAAGATGAGAGGAAGAATTGCACCCAACTCCGACTCCCATGTCTTCTTCGCTCCCCTTTCCCCTTTTTCTCCTTTTTCCCTTTATTAGGAATCTCTGCTCGCCAACGCCTTCCCACCTTAGGGTCCTGCCTGTCTGCCTCCAGACACCTCGATAGTTGGAGCTGGTCTCCAACAGGGACCCTTGTACTGTGACATTGGGGTCAGAGCATGCCCCCTGTCACAGGTTTCTTCATCCTTGGGAAACTGAAGCTTGAGGGTAAAGCAGCACCGAGATGCAAACACACACTCTGGCCTGGAAGCAGGCAAGGGACCCCAGGGCTGAGTCACTCAGACTCCTACTGCTTCGCCAGGCAGGGCGGGGTCATCATTCACTCTGTGTTCAACATAGATACATATATATATTATTTATGCATACAGAACTGGGGGACAGGCCAGAGGCGCAGGGGTGGTGAGAAGCTTCACCAGAGACAGAATGGGAAGCAGAACAGGCAGATCAACAAAGTACACTGCTGATGGGGAGCAGCGGGTGGGTCAGGAGAGGTCTGCCGCGCCACATGGGTCAGCTCCCTGGCTGGGATGGAACTCATGTTAACGTGGCTGCGGCCAGCTTCATAGTGCTGTGCTTTAACCCATTGCACCACCAGGAGGGCCCTCAATATATATTCTGAGTAGCCACACAGTGCTGGGACTCGGGGTGCAGCAAGGACACAGAGACACTGTCCTGCCCTTGTGGAAATTACTGCCCTGCAGTGCTGGCCCTTGCGGAAGTAGAGAGTCAAGAGGCTATTTAAATGCAGATCAACTAAAATGAAGAATTCTACTGAATTCAGTAGCAGCAGCCTCATCTCCCGTGCCTGATAGCCACAAATTTCAATGGCTATCGTGTTGGATTGTACATATGGAAGGCATATGGAACATCCTATGACTCTAGAGAGTCGTATTTGATCGTGCTGGCCTGGTGGTGATTGAACTGCCTGCTGCCATAAAAGCCATAAAGGAATACTGGGAAGGATGGTGACAGAGGATGATGGCGACCCTGACCTGGTTTGGAACGGGAAAGGGCTTTCTGAAGAAGGCATATTTGGAGGGGTTAGCCAGAGCTGGATGGAAACTGCCTGAGAGGAAGGCGCACAGAGGTCCCGGCAGAGGGCAGTGGGGTACACGCAGGAGTGGGAAGGTCAGGCTTGAAAATGCATTTTGAATCAAACGAGATCAGACTTAGGTTCATAGTAAAATTGAGAGGAAGGTACAGAGATTGCCCAGTGCCCGCTGTTTCCCTCACCCTTCACTGACAGCCCTACAAGAGCGGAACATTTGTTACGATGGGTGAACCCACCTCAGCTATCACTAGCAATCTGAGGTTTACCCCAGGGTGTGTTCTTAGTGTTGAACATGGAGTTGGACAAGTGGATAGTTAGCAGGGTAGTTTCACTGCCCTAAGCTTCCTCTGTGTGCCACCTGTTCAGCTCCCGCACTCAGCCCTGGCAAACACTAGTCTTTTTTTTCTGTCTAGTTTGCCTTTTTCAGAATGTCACAGAATTGGAATCCTATAGCGTGTAGTCTTTGCAGACTTCTTTCACTTAGTAATGCGCATTGAAGGCTCCTCTGTGTCTTCTCCTGGCTGAAAGCTCATTTCTTTTTACAGCTGAATAATATTCCATTGTCAGGGTCCACCCACTGAAGGGCATCTCGGTGGCTTCCAAGTGTCGGCAGTTATGAATAAAGCTGTTATGACCCTCTCCATGCAGGATTGTGTGTGGACATCCTCAAGATGTGCAGATTTAAAAGGTCATTCGGGTTGGTGGCTGCTGTGGGAGCAGCTTAGGGCAGGCTTCTGGTGGAATGAAGCCTTCTGGAAGGTGGAGAGAGGAACTCTTTGGGGGTGGCCTGGAACAGAAAGAGCCTCTGAAAAGGCTTTCCCAGTGGGCTTCAGCCAAAGCCCCTACTCACCTTGACCATTTTCACAGGGTCCACTTACCCCTTTCCACATCCTCCCACCGCCTGGAGGTTTTCTCCTCCCTGCAGTACAGTCAGGGAGACCAGACTGGAGGGCTCACTCTGCCCTAGGTTCTGAAACAGACACCAACTGGGTTTAAATTCCAGTGTTTCTACTCACTTATGTCCTTTTGTACAAGAATGTGTGAGAAGAGGGTCTTCTTCAGTGGTGTCTGGTGCCATCTCTCATGGATTTTTGTTTAAAGATTTATGCATTTATACATACAATAGCTGGTGGGTAGGCCAGAGGTGTGGGTGGGGGGTGGTGAGAGGATTCACAGAGACAGAGTGGGGAGCAGAACAGGTGGATTGACTGTCAACACTGCTGAGGGAGCAGCGGGTGAGACAGGAGAGGTCTGCTGCGCCCTGTGGGTCAGCTCCCAGGCTGGGGATTGAACTCAGGCAGTAGGGTGATAGCATAGAGGCTTAACCCCTAGGCTCCCTGGGAGGCCCTTCTTCTTTTTTTAGCATTTAAAAGGGACAAGTTTATTGGGATAAAGGAAAAAAGGAGAGACCCCTGCTTAGTCACAAGTGTCAGGGAGGAGAGCTGCCTAGCACGACATATTTTAATGGGGGACAGAAAAGAAATTAGTTCACCACTGTGGAAAACATAAGTGATTACAGATTACTGTGGGGAAGGAGTGGGTCAGGCAGTCCGGAAGACTGCAGGACAGACCTGGGGCTCAGCGGAGGTCCCTTGGATGTTGCCTGGGTGAGAGCATGGTGCCATCATTGGGGCTTCACTAATATATGGGAACCCCCATTAACACTCTGACATTACACTTACTGTTGCTAAACCAGGGGCAAGGGCTGGGCCTGCCCCATAATGGTCCGCCCACATTAGGAGCTCACAGAGAGGCCTCTTGATACTAATAGCTGGCTCCACCCAATGAGGTGGGAGGGAAGTGAGGCCCAGGGAGGGTGTTATCTGAAACTTGGTATTCTGGGTTGAATAGTGTCCCCCAAAGAGACTTGCCCACCTGGAAACTCAAAATGTGACCTTGTTTGGAAATAGGGCCTTTGCAGATGTCATGAGTTAAGATGAGGTCATTCTGGCTTAAGGTGGGTCCCGAATGAAACATGACTGGTGTCTTTATAATAGGAGCAGTCACACAGGCACACAGACACACACACAGGAGCACCCCATGAAGACAGAAGCAGAACTTGGAGTGATGCAACTGCACAAAGGGCTCCAATTATTCAAGGATTGCTGGCAGCCCCCCGAGGCTGGGAAGGAAGCAAGGGGAGCTTTTGTGGGGTGCGTGGCCCAGCCAGACAACATCTTCCTTTCAAATTTCCAGCCTCCAGACTGGGAGAGAATAACTTTCTGCTTAAGCCACCCCAGTCATGGTATTTTTCTTTTTTCCTTCCTTCCTCCCTTCTCTCTTCCTTAATACAGATTTTAATTTATTGATTCATGCATACAAGAACTGGGGTGTGAGCCAGAGGTGGGGGTTATGTGTGAGAGCATTCACCAGTGACAGAGTGGGGAGCAGAACAGGCAGATTTACTGAAATACACAGCTGAGGGGATCAGTGTGCAAGATAGGAGAGGTCTGCTGGCCATGTGGGTCAGCTCCCTGCCTGGGGGTTGAACTCAGGCCACCTGGCTGATGATAGCTTGATGGTGCTGAGATTTCTAACCCTGTGGCAGCAGGGAGGCCCCTTAGTGGTACTTTGTGAGGGTGGCCTCAGGAAACATTTGCTTAGGGTCATCTGTGAGCCAGCAATGGTATTCAAAACCCAGTTTTGTCTGCAGAGATTTCCTATGAATTATTAGTACAGCAAAACCTAGAATCTTCTATTATGTTGATGAGAAAAATCTGAGCTGAAATTGATGGGTGTTAGTATGTTCCTTTATTCATGTTTTGCTTGAAACTGCAGTTTGCAAGAACTCATCAATGACATTGAGGACTTAGTGTATATGACAGTTACTTTGTGAAGGGCTATAGGAGAGGCTGTATCATTCGTATATTTTCTCGGCAACTATATGTTCAGTGTCTACTCCATATCAGGTATGTTCATTCCAGGTATGAGAAATCTTGTGGCTGTCTTACATTTTACTGGGGGCACACCCCCTTCCGACCCCCCACCCCCAGCCCTGTAGGTCAGATGGTGCAGAGTTATAGAGAAAAACAAAACAGGTGAGGGTCAAGTTTAGAGATGTGTATGTGAGGATGGGCAAAAGGTGATGCTACTTTCTGCATGGGAGTCGGGGAGTGGCTCTCCAACAATGTGGTTTTTGAACACTGCAGCCATCTGAACGGCAGATGCAAGGCTTGGCGGCAGGAGAGCGCCGGAGCGGCTGCAAAGTCACGTGCAGAGGGCGGGAGACACAGAGACGAGGTCAGGAAGCCAGCGTGGGCCGCTCGGGGACCCTGCAGGCTCACCCTGCCCAGAGTGCCGAGGGCGGTGCCGCACCCAACATGGCGCCAGCGCGCGGCACGTCTACGGGCGAGCGGAAGTGCGTTCGACGGGCGCCGGAAGTGGCGGGCGGCCCCGCCCCCTGCCGGGGTGTCTGTGGAGCGGCGGACGCGCCGGCTTTGAGCATCCCTGACCGCCCAGGCGGGCGGTCTCCGGGTTGCGGCTCGGGCGCCCGAGGCTCGGCCCGCCCTCGACATGGCCAGCTTCGGAGAGGTACGGCCGGCGCCGCTCTCTGCTCTCCTGTCTGCCTGGCGGCCTCGGCTCGGCTCGGCTCGGCTCGGCTCGGCTCGGCTCGGTCCCTCCCAACCCAACCCCGGTCCCCTTGCGTCCTTTCCATCACGACCTCGGCCGGGCCCTGGCTTCCCGCCCAGACCCGGCCCCGCTCGGTCCTTTCCACCCGAACCTGGCGTCGCCGTGTCTGGTCCTTCCCGCCCCGCCCCTGGTCTCGGCCTGCCTCCTCCTTCCCATCCCGACGCCGGCCTTACCCGTTTCCCATTCTTACTCCATCCGGTCCCCCAGAGCTTTACCCTGTCCAAAGGCACGAGAGCTCACCCCTTACTACGGTTTTCCACCCCTTTCTCCAGCCCCTCATTCCTGGTTGCCAGAGTTCTCCCCTGGCTCTCCATCCCAGTTTCCAGCTCCGCCGGCGGCCTCGGGTACCTTCCCCATGACCCTGTGCTTCCCATGACCCTGTGCTTCCCAGGGTACCACCTCCTTGTCCATTTCTCCTCCAACCTCTTAGAAACCTCAGCGTCATTCCGGCTTAGTTTTCCCTGAGCCTGCTTGCTGGGTAACTTACCCTGAACTTCTTTCCCCAATGCTCCACACTGAGCGTCTGTAAAGTCTGCAGACCGGATGTGGAAGGTCTGGACACGGAGTAGTGTGTTCTTTTTGTTGCTTCTGGCCTACCTTTATGTACTTGTGTTTGTGTCATTGGCGGCTCAGGTTGTTGAACACACTTCATAGTGTCTTAGGGACATGGGGTGGGTGGGTCTGGGTAGTGGAGGGATGGCTGGGGTTGTTTGACAGTTCACCCTCATTTGAAGTTTGACTAAGAAGTGATTCCTATGGCCCCTTGATTGTAGGGGAGAACACCCTGGCCCACTAGACTGGTGGTAGGAGTGAAGGAGCACCCAGCACTAGCTCTTGAGAGCTTCCTGAGCGTCTCCTGGGGCAGCTTGGCTGTGTTTGTCTAGTCAGTTGTGTGTGTTTGGGGTGGGGTTTCGTTCTTTGGTCTGTTGGGTTACATGAAGCACAGCTGGATGATCTGGCCAGCCAGGCATCTTGTTGCTTTGTTGAAATCTGGAGAGGGGCGTCTCTTTCCACCCTGGATGTGGTGCCCAAGGTCCCTTTTTCTGGGATGGTCTCATTTTCCCCCCCAAAGATTTATCTATGCACATAAGAAATGGGGTACAGGCCAGAGGTGCAGGTTGAGAGGACTCACCAGAGACAGAGTGGGGAACAGAACAGGCAGACTGACTGAAACACACTGCTGAGGGGAGCAGCAGGTGGGATGGGAGAGGTCTGCTCGGCCATGTGGGTCAGCTCCCTAGCCGGAGAGCAAACTCGTGCTGCAGTGGCTGCGGACAGCTTTATAGTGCTGCTGTGCTGTAACCCATTGTGCCACCAGGGAGGGCCCAGGGATGGTCTGATTTTTAATTTATTTAATAAGCTCTCACTTTGTAAGAATAACGATTCAGTGATTAAAAAATATTTTCATAAGGTGTGCAGCCATCGTCACCATCTCATAATAGAATGGGGTTCTCTGATTTTGAAAGTCACATAGCTTCCAGGACTATGCCTAGAGTTTCTGAGTAGGGTGGTACATTTGTAATAGCACCTCAAATGACTCTGAAGCAGTGGGCATTGATTCACCTGGTTTGATGCTTCTTTACTGGCCTAGTGAGGAGATAACCCTGTAAATCATTACAGTTCATCTTAGGAGGCAAGAGGTGGGAGAGTATCTGTTGCTGCTGTGGAGGAGGAGAACAGCAGCGTGAATTAAGTTTCTGGAAGAAGCTGAGAGGGCTGCATTCAGGAGGGAGCATTTGAACTGAGCAGGTCAAAGCAGGCCTTTCCTTTGTGTAGTGGCCTGTCTGTAGTAGGGAATGGGCTCGTGCAAAGGTCTGGAGCTGTTAAGTGCTATGCCTCCGCGGAACATTGCAGAAAATGCCAATCTAAGGCCTATGGCGAGTGAGAATCTTTCAGATGACTTCTGAGTTTTAATTTTTTTTTCATACTATTAGATTACACATACTTGCGAAAGAGTGAAGCTCTATAGACCCATTGCCTGGCTGTAATAGTAAACATGTGACTGTTTTTGTTTCATTTCTGTCTCTAGCCCTCCTCCTCCAGTTATTTAAAGTACATTCTAGACATATTGTCAGTTAATTTATGAATTATGTGATTTGTTTGGTTAGTTACCTGACTGATAACAGCCACTTGGTAGCCATCAGGGAAGCACTGTTTTTTTTTTTAAAGATTTATTTATTTGTACATATGGAACTGGGGTACAGGCCAGAGGCTCAGGGGCGGCGAGAGACTTCACCAGAGACAGATTGGGGAGCAGAACAGGCAGATCGACCAAGTAAACTGCTGAGGGGAGCAGCGGGCGGGTCAGGAGAGGTCTGCCACACCATGTGGTCACCTCGGGGCAGGCGGGGATCGAACTCACGCTGAGGTGGCTTTAGCTTCTTAGTGTTGTGCTTTAACCCACTACGCCACCAGGGAGGGCAGGGAAGCACCGTTTTTTTTTGGCAGGTACTAACTGAGGCTTCAGTTGCTTAATTAAAAAAAAAAAAAAAGTGAAATCTTACACATTCTGAAAAATGCCTAAGACAATTTATTGAATAATGAAACCCCAAGCCCGTACGCTTCAAACTACCTTCAGGTGTTCATTATCTGATTGAGAAGGATGGTTCACAGGTGTGCCTTATAAAGGTCGCTTGCTAGGGCCTGCCTGGTGGTGCAAGGGGTTATGGCTCAGCGCTGTCAGGCTATCCACAGCACCAGTTCGATCCCCAGCCAGGGAGTTAAGGCACATGGCGCAACAGACCTCCCTCTCCTGTCTCGCTGGCTGCTCCCCTCAGCAGTGTGTTTCACTAAATCTGCCTGTTCTGCTCCCCACTCTGTCTCTGGTGAATCCACTTACCCCTACACCTCTGGTCTACACCCCAGCTCTTGTGTGCATTAATAAATAAAATAAATCTCTAAAAAAAAATCATCTGCTCCCTGCCCCTGAATTGGAATTTCGGGATACTCCAGGAAGTGTTGGGCCTGGGCCTGGGCCTTCTGGAAGTCACAGGTCCTTTTCAACTGATCAGGCCTGGCCTTTGGTATTATTTGCCTTCTGAACCTGGGCTACTTACCCAGTATTTTAAGGTGGAGAGTGGGTCTACTTTGGTTTCCCCAGACACTGACTGTTCATTGTCCTGAGATCTAGATGGGAGCAAGCATTAATGTATTTGAGTGTGTGCAGAGGTAGGGTTTTCTAGGCTACATTTTTATTTTACAAATAAGAATCTTGGAGGCTTCTTTCCTTTCTCTTGGCAGTACTCCTTGTTTGCTCTTGCCTTGCCAGGGCCTGCCATTTTACCTGGGTAAAAGATAGACTAACAAAAGATGGCATTCTTGACTCAGAAAACTGTAGTTCCAAGGAAAGACGAGGTTGTCACAAGCTTAGCAACCCCTCTCAGGATGCGCTCTGGGAGGCCAAGCTGACCTGCAGCCTGGTGGCGGCTCCTCATCCCGACCAGCCCTCAAACCCAGGCTGCTGCACTGGAGGCTCAGCTCCATTTCTGTTTTTGTTTCGTTTTAAAGATTATGTCTGTACACAACTGGAGTACAGGCCAGAGGTGCTGGGGATAGGAGGATCCACCAGAGACAGAACAGTCAGAGCTACTGAAGTACACTGCAGAGGGGAGCAGCAGGTGAGACAGGAGAGGTCTGCTGCGCCATGTGGTCAGCTCCTTGGCCAGGGATGGAACTCAGGTCATAGGGTGATAGTGCAAGGCTTAACCCGTAGGCCACCAGGGAGGCCCTGCAGTGGCATTCTTATTTTGGTAAATCTTCAAATTAGGGATCAGGAGGGGCGAGCCTTAGGTTGCTTCCTCTTGTCTCCTGGTGACAGAGCACAGTCTGTCCAGTTTGCCTGGTAAGGATTATCCCTGCTCGAATCCTTCTGTGGAGATGGAGTCACTAGGTCTTGGGTGGGCTCTGGGAGCCTGATTTCTAACCTGTACCTGGGCCACCCCCATGACTGGCTCTGGGAATCAGCGAGCCAAGGAATGGTGCTTATGGTCCAAAACCAGATCTGGGTGGCTGTGGACTTGGTCTGGGGACTGCCTTTGCCCTTGGAGATGGTGGGGTAGGGAGACAGTGCAGGCAGGGATTCAGGACACCTCAAATGCAAAGCGGGGAGTGAGGGCACGTCTGGCTGCCTCACCATAAGAGGAAATTGTGAACGTCCAGTGTTTTTGAACAGGATAGATGTTCGGGAGACCCTTTTGTGATCTTTGACAGGGTTGGTAGGGTGCAGAGCCTGTCAGGACAGGGTTGGGGGATGCCAGTTAGTGTTCTCAGGAACCCAGGTGCCTGCTGGAGTGTGTGGGCAGCCTCTTCTTCCCAGGCTTCACAGTTGCCATGGTAGCGGTAGGCTTTCCCAGTCCTCGCCGTCCATCTATGCAGATGTGAGGGGCTTGTAGATGGAATCACTGGAAAAGCAGTGGAAATAATTTGGGGCACTCTCCTGGGAGTGGTCAGAGGAGCCCCACAGAGAGGATGTTCAACACAGGAGGATCTCTGGAGGGGAAGTTCTAGGAGACACAGGGATCCCTGGTTCTATATGTTTATACCTCAAAAGAGCCTCTGAACTCTTTTGTGGTTGATTTGGGGATCCCTTGTCACAATAGCAAGGGATGAAATCTTCTCCCTCTTGGTTTTACACATCAAGAAGGCATTTATCGCTTGGACAGAGGCCTACATTGGGGGAAGTTTACACATATCCACAGCAGGAAAAGGAGCGTGTGATGTCTTACTGGAAGCACAGTTTCTCACCAGAAAGCCTGCTAAGTGGAAATGAGTTGTGCCATCCATTTTTTTTTTTTTTTTTTTTTATTAAAAAGTTTAT